CTATGCTTGTTAAGGAATAATTGATGTTTAAATTTCAGCATTTATCGTATCAATTGTTGGACTGGTAATATGAGCATGATAATTGGCCAATGTTTATTATGCTTGCTATAGAATTAATTGATGTAGACATTTATTCATGTTTTCTCAATTATACGAATTCTGGGGATAAATTGATATTTACATATACTGTTGTATTGTCAGTTGCTAGATTGTGGTTGTGCAGTGTAAAATTAGCATATTAAAATACATAACTCTAGTATGCTTATTCTGGAACAATTGATGTTTAAATTTAATATTTTTATTCTCAATTGTTGGATTTACGGATTAGTTGATATTTACATGCATGGTCTGTAATATCAACTGGTGGATGGATGGATTGTATGCATCGGTATGGGACGGTGACATACTAGGGGGATTAGCTCAAAAACTCTAAGTCCTACCTACTCTGAAATTAAGGAATAGATTAACTAAAAGTTAAATCCTGTCAATTTGTAGTGTCAAGGCAACGCATAGTTAAGCAACATTATTATGGATTCTGGATGGACTTTAAATATATAGTTATGGTACCTCGATATGAGCTTGAGTCTCAAGATCGATGGTTAGGGAACGTATATGCATTGGGATGTATAGCTGGCTATGATGGTTGGAGGTGTACCATGTTAGGCTTAGGTACACATGCCCACTTCGTGTGCGTTTTGCATGTTGCCTCTATTCAGGTTGAGATCAGCCTGTAATCCAGTGAGAGTCCTTTAGTGTGAATATATATATATATATATATATATATATATATATATATATATATATATTTACGGACTATTTAGTTATTGTTGAATTGGTTAGGATGTACATGTGTATTGAGTCTCTGTTCGGATTGTAGTAGGATAGAACTTGTTCATGGGCCTGACCCACTTCTATTTTTTAGGTGTTCGACAGTTCCAGTCGTAGACTTGATCGTGCTGAGCATAGACTATTACTCACTCTTCCGACGATGTAGGACTTCGCTCCGTGATTTAACTTTGGATGTTCTTTCAGTTTTTCATTTCAGTTTGGATTTTTATTAGGGGTCTACTAGAGATGGATTCTCGAGTTGTTAAAACTATTGGAGGTTTTGGATTGCTTGATTTTCTAAGCATTAAATTTTAAAGGATTTTATTTTAGAATTTATTCAACTTTTATTTACTTCTTAATTCATTTTGTATTCCGTGTTCGTTTTAAAATATTAATTGTCTGGTATCCCTCGGGTTCGGGCTTGGGCCTGATCAACCCGTGTCTCGGATCTGAGGGGTATCACATTGTCACCATCTCATTGTAGTATTTGGGCCTTAAGCCCATGTATTGGTAAAAATCCCAAATATTTTTCTTATCAGAGAAAATGAAAAGTTGAAAAAATAAGTACTCGAAGGGACGACTCATATCATACTCCCTCCATCTAATAAAAAATTTAAATAGCATTGAATGTAATCACAAAACAACATATAAATAAATGTATTAATTTTATATTTTTATATTTATATTTTTATTAATTACATTATAATTGGCCCGTGATCAAATAATAAATTTTCAATTACCAACCCAATTATAATATACAAATTAAAAAACTGGTCCATTTAAATACAATAAGGTAGAGTGGCATAATGATTTTCACTGTATAGTATTTTTTTATAATAATTTATTATACAGTGACATTACTCAATAATTTAATTGGTAAAGATACTGAATAAATTTATCTATATTAATTTGTGAGATAAGAAATACTACCTCCGGCCCAAAATAAATTTTATGTTACAGATGAGTTCACAGTTTCACCCAAAATAAATTTTATGTTACAGATGAGTAATAATTATAATAAATTAATATATATTTGTTACTGTGATATAAAGAAATGACAGGCTTATGCTAAAAAGCTGTATAGTACTACGTAATGAGTAAAATATGGTGAAATATTGAATTGAGAGCAGTGCTGAATTGTCGCTGTTACTTTGACTAACTGCACTATTCTTTAGTTGTGGGGGTAAAGAGGTAATTTTGTTTTTAAAGGACTCTGCCTCTCAAAACAGAGACCTATTGACTTGTGCAGAGCTGAATTGTCGCTGTTACTTTGACTAACTGCACTCTTCTTTAGTTGTGGGGGTAAAAAGGTAATTTTAATTTTCAAAAAGACTCTGCCTCTCAAAACAGAGCCCTATTAACTTGTGCAGAGGAGATTTTGTCACTTTGCAAAAATGGGGAAAAGTCATCTGCCTGTGAAGATGAGGGGGTTGACCTGCAGAGAGATTCACTAGCAGATAGAGAGGATGAACACGCATTGATGAACAACAAATTAGCTGACCCCTTCAAAATCTCAGATTGATTTTGTCTATGGAAATTAAATCTCACCCTGCATTATTGACCCTTTATCTTCCACACAGTACTGCATCTGGTCCTATGACAGTGTCTTAAATGTCATATGACAATGTCTTAAATGTTCAACTACCGCACTGTAATAACTAGCCGATGAATTTTCTCAAAATTATAAAAATATATTTTTGAGGCATAAAAGTTTAATTTACTTGACCGAAAATCTTTTAATATTAAGTTGTATATGCAAAAATAATGATAAGTTCTGAAATTGGGTCACTCCAGTGTAGCTATACCTCAATGAAAGTGTACTGTTTTCCTTCTAAGTTCTTGAATTTTTGAATTATTTTTAGACATGAAATGAAGTGAACTCATATGAATTTAGGTTTTAATTCATATTTTAATGTCAGGATCCATATCTGACGTTAACTTCATATTAATCAGATCTCACATAAAACCCAAATTATTTTAAAAAATACTCTGATACATTTTTTATATGAAATTTTCAACAAATTAGATTCATATTTAACCTCTTTAAATTTGAATTCAAAATTAAAATTTAAACTCGCTAAAAATAATCTTCACATTGGATTAATTAAATCTTAGTTCAAACTTCATTTCAAGTCCTAATTTTTTTTAAAGTAAATTAAACTCATCAACAATGTAAATTTCAATATTTAAAGATATTCTAAATTAATTCTTAAAAATCACGTAAAGGAAAAAAATAAATAAATTCAACTCAAAGCACATAATACAAAAAAATAAAAATTAAAAATACCATCACCATTAGCATTGATGGAATTGAATGGCTTATAATAAAGTTTTAATAGTTCTTCCATACTTCAAGTGTTAACAAGATCAATTATTTTGTTCAACTCCACCATTTCTTCATATGTGAGATCCTCCATTATAGAATCAAATATTAATATTAAACCTTAAGTAAAAAAATAAATAGTTAATTGGGGTAATACAAAGTAGAAAAATAACTTGTTAATTGGGGTGACAGAGGGACGGAGATATATATAGTCGTAACTGAAAGAAAAATTGTGGTATTTGAGAAAAAATAATTATTTATTTATAAAATTAGGAATAAAAGTGTCATTTCCTTTAACAATGTAGTGCAAATGTAGAATATTGGAGTGCATATATGGCATCCCTTATAATGACTTCTTAAAATTTGGATAAATTACACACGTTTATTATATTTTGACACTCCTAATATTTTTTATTTATATTTTTTTGACTGACTTGTTAACCAAATTTTAAAAAATAACAATTTTGTCGTTTCTTTGTGTAAACGGTAATATAATAGGGTATTACTTTCTCTGTACCATAATAATTGGCCTTTTTTAAATTATAACTTTTTAAGATATGACTTTTAATAGTTTTATATTGTATCGGTGAATGGATTATCAAATTTGTTCGTGGTTTCAGGAGTGACTTATGTTTTACTTTTATAAATTTAATATAAGTGACTAAATTGATAACATTTATATATATATATATATATATATATATATATATATATATATATATATAAGTGACTAAATTGATAACGTTATAAATATATATAGGATAAAGTGCATTAAACCCCCTTGAACTATTGGTCATTTGTAAGAAATTTTCCTGAATTACAAAAAACTCCCCTGAACTATGATTTTATTACAATTTACATCCTTGAACTATTGGTCATTTGCAAGAAACCTCCCTGAACTATAAAAAATCCCCCTGAACTTTGATTTTGTTACAATTTACTACCCTAAACTATGATTTTGTTGCAATTTACCCCCATGACATCAGCTTCCGGCACCGAAAATTTTGAAATACCAGTTTACCCTTATAACACACTATGTTGTTTTAACTTATACACTTTTTACATTTTTTTTTTCTGCCAAAAGATGTTTTTCACCCAACACAATCCAAAACAGAGAGCTAGAGAGAGAGAAAGAGAAGAGACCAAAGAACTCCGAGGTCAGCGGGATGGCTCGGTCTCGGATGATCGGGGCTTGTGCGCAGAGGACTTGGCTGTAATGAGAGCTCGGTTGACTCGGGCGTGAACTGTGGAGGTGGCGGTGAGCTCAAGGGGGCTCGGCGGTGAACTGTGGACGACTGTGTGCTCGAAACACGGACGGTGGTGTGCTCGGTTATGGAGATGGTGAAATGGGTCGATGAGCTTGGAATTGACGGTGGAATGGACCGGCGAGCAAGGTGAGCTGAACAGCGGGCAAGGCGGTGACGGCGATGGGCTGACGCAAGGTGTAGAGAAATGCGATATATATGGCCGACGAATCTGGCGGGTGGTGCAACGACTATGATGGAGCTATGACAGGAGACCCACCGATCCCAGCAATAGATTTCTTGGCTTATCCAAACACTCCTCAGATGACATCTACCACTCCGATCCCAGCCACAAATTCCTCTACTTCATCGTCCCTTTCAGTCAATCAATTCGCGCGGATGGGGTAAACTGCAAAAAAATATTTAGTTCAGGGGAGTTTCTTGCACATCCTCCAATAGTTCAGGGAATTTTTTTGTAACTTTTATAGTTCAGGGGGGTTTCTTGTACATACCCTAATAATTCAGGTGGGTTTAATGCACTTTGCCCATATATATATATATATATATATATATTGGAACAGCTAGAAAAAAATATGTTTGGACAATCGTGTGTAATTTGTGCAAACTTCGTGGAGGGACCTAATAATTTCTCAGTTAATCGAGTTACGGCTGACTGAGAGGTGGAGGCCAAATGGAGAGAGCGAAAGAGTGTCTGCAATTGAGTGAGGAAGAAACAGAGCAAGTCTCGCGACTCACCATTCCTTCTCACCGAGTTGGTGTCGAACCCAGCTTCTACGAATATTATGCACTGAGGGGCATCCGAGTCCACCGAGTCGAACCCGGTTTCGTCGCCTGTACTTTCAAGGTCCCCCCTCGTCTCACCGTAAGTAATAACCCCCAAAATCCCTCATATTTTTATCTTTTCAATGAGTTTCCCTTTATTCATCTTTGGAAATATGGGCAATACATACATATATATGTGTGATCTGTTTCAGCTTAGCTTTAATTGTGAACCCTAATGATTGTATGTGGTTGGCAGGCACATAGATTTCTTCAATTTTTTACCTTATATATATATATATATATATATGTATGTATCTATGTATGTATGTCTATGAAAGAAATCATTTCCATACAATTAAACAAAAGATAAACTAAAGCTTCTAATTTTCTAAACTAATTTTTTAAACTTGATATATATCTACTATTATTGAATGTTCTTCCTGAGTTTCTAAAAACCTGAAAAAAAGAAATCAAATTTAGAAAACCTTGACCAAATAAAACTTAAATTGTTTGCAAAATGATTAACATTTTAAATATTATATTTTGTACAGGGGGTATGCCCCTCTTCTAGCATTGTTCATTTCTTATAAAACAATACCCCCAAAAAATAAAAACCAAAAACCAATATATATATATATATATATATATATATATATATATTAGTGTGATATTTTTTCATATCTTTATTGTTGGCAACCCCAAAAGATTTTTTTTTTCCTTTTTTTCCAAGTCCTAAAAAAGATATGTTGGCAGTAAGTTTCTGTCATTATGGAGTGGACAAAGCAAGTTCATATCTTATCATAATCAACTGTTAGAAATGAAAAGAAAACAAATACACTATGGTTTGGGGCTGGGGTAGGTCTAAGTTTTCTCGTGTAGTAAAAGTAAATTTTGGATCAAATTGATGTTAGTTTGGTTAATAAAGCTGAAACGAAAATAGAAATGGAACAAACTGCGCGAATGGGCAAAAGTAAATCTGCAACAAACTGCAATTATAAGCCGCGGACAGTGCTTGCAAATCATTGACATATAAACAGGTTGTGTGATTGGAACATTTCTGTAGTATAGAGTTATATCACCAACATTCTAATTGTGTAGGCTACAGCTTTTATTGATCTTCTTATGATAGTTAGGGTTCAGTTTGGTTTCGTTTTATCAGGATAGGACTGGAAAGCTGGCTTCTGGTGTGATTGCGAACCTAGTTGATGAAGTTGGTGGTGCTGTGGTCCATGTTGAGGGTCTGCCCATGAATGTTTCAGTGGACATGTCGATATCATTCCTTTCAACTGCAAATGCCAATGTAAGCTAGCCTCACACTTAAAGCCTCTTTGACATGTTTTTGGATGGGACAGATTTTTCCTTAGTGTTGAACCATATTTGTTTTTCCTTTCTTCTCTCTCTACCAATCTCGAAACTTTGTCCTAGGGCTTGGGAGTTTAAACCCAAAGCCATTAAGACAAACGTATAACAGTTGAACCATGTTTATTTGTATGCAATTATTTAATCCAGCATTGTTTTTTTTATTGCAATGGTTAATTTATGGACTCATCCTAAATGTTGATGATATTGCATCATTTAGCCTTGTTCACGGAAATTTTTTAATAGTTCCACAATGATTATATAAACCAAGCTCTATTACAGAAGTTTGTTATTAAAGTGAATGCCAATAGTTCTTCAATCCTGTCCAAAACTCTGTCATTGCTGTAGGCTGTTTGCTTCTTGACCATTTTAAAATATATTTTGGATTAATTACAAATGTCTGTAGCATTGTTAGTGGCAAATGTTTCCCAAAAATTATTACTATCGTTGATCTATTTTATTAGTATAGCAATGTTCACTGAATATTATTATTACTGCATATGGATCTCCATTCTTGCATGTTACACAGTTTTATCTTTCCACTTTATAAGATTTGGTTTTATACATGTTTATGTGTTACATGTTACATCTCTGGATGGCTTATTGACAGGATGAGTTGGATATTACGTCGAGGGTTTTAGGCCAAAGAGGAGGTTATTCCGGAACAATCGTGCTTTTGAGAAACAAGGCAACTGGGGAGATTGTTGCTGAAGGTAGGCATTCATTGTTTGGTAAACATGCTAGCAAAATGTGAGCCTACTGCACTCTTTTGAATGTGATTCTAAACACCATCTGAAATGTAAGACTTCCGCCATTATGAATCCCGGAGAGGGTTAAATTTAGTCTTACTTCAAACCGTGATCAGGAGATCACGATGGAGGTTTCTGTTTCTTATTTTAAATGCATGTCTTATTCAAGAATAATAACGTTTCATGAAAGAAGCTGGGAATCTGGTTCTTCTATAACAGATCATCTGTTTACTATTTATTTCATTAGTTTGGTATTTTTCGAGGAAGTTTTAGATTCGCAAAGTAGAAGCTTTGAGAGAGAGAGAAATGGCCGATAGATGCCTAGAGAATGTTGATGGCATTTTACATTTTTGTGTCTTCCACATCTCTTCCACTTTTTTTTTGGTCATTACATGTCAAGATCCATTTCCATATTCAAAATCTTGTTACTTGTAATAGGAAATGATTTTGTTTGTACAGTAGTCCAGGATTGGATTGTGGTCTGTGGAATGAAGATGAAAATTTGCTAGCTTCATTCAGCTTGGCGGACACAATCAAAATGAAAATGATATACTTCTCTTACCCGACTACACAATTGACATGATGTGGCAATTAAGGATTGACTTAAATATTTTCTAAAAAAATTTTTAGCTGAGATATAAAAACAAAATCTCCTATAAATTTTTTTAAAAATATATATATAGTAGAAGTGCAATTTGAGATATAAAACTCTCAATCTGAGTTCAAATCCAACCGGGCAAGCCCAATAATACAAGTGTTTTCTTCTTTTTCTTTTGTAAATTCGGGTTTAGTTTAGATTAGTCGAGTATGATCAAATTAGGCTCGACTTATTAGTATTTTGATATTACTACTAATACTAATAATTTAAATCGAATTCTAGTTGAGTTTACATTCCACACCTTTCGTCACTGTGGATCTTAATACACCTTTCAAAAAAAAAAAAAAAAAAATGTCGACATCGATACAAAAAATTTGTAATATTCCAAAAAGAAATAGGCGCATATATATATATATTTTGACAAGAAAACGATTCTAAAGTTGTTTAATAAATGGATTGTATGACCTCTCTAACACACCACAATCCACTTAAAGATTTATTTATTTATTTATAATTACTCCCTCTAACTCAAAAATAAAAAATAAAATAATGTCTCATTGGTTGAGTCAGTTTTTCAAAAGGGACCTTTTTTTTTTTTTTTTTTTTTTTTTTGCTGTTAAAAATTATGAAATGATAAATTTTTTTATTTTTATCCACTAATTTCATATACACAAAACTATCTAAAGCAAGAAACATGGCAATTACACAATTAAGCACGCTATATTACTGAAAATTGATAGAATTCATATTTCCTACATGTTAAACTTGACTTTATATGCTTCACTTGTTGGTAGAATGTGAATTGTTTGTGACCATGCCCTTAACTTGTAAATTCAAGTTATTCGGGGAAAAAAAACTTGTAAATTCAAGCTTGTACTCGTGCTAAATTAGTGTAAATGCTGAAATTCGTGTCTTAGATGCTTATGTGAAGTTGCCATGTTATGTACTTGTTATAAAACGTGTGTTTTTATGGCTAATTGAGTCAAATCACATGTATAGGTAAAATGAGTATTTCCATCTCATCACACATGCATTGTTTGGGGGTGTGTGTTAGTTTTTTGTTTGATAAAAGTTTTTTTTAAAAAAAAAACAGACGATGGAGAGTTGCCTTTACACAATTAAGTTAGAATTTTAAATAAGTTCCATGTTATTTTTAATATTTTACTATAATCACGTTGAATTCAAATTAATGATAGGATAAAGTGCATATAATCCACTTGAACTTTATTCTCTCTTCTTAAAAACTTCCCTGAACTTTTTTTTTTTTTTGTTTGACAAAAGACTCCCTAAACTATTTTTATTTTCGCAAAAAAAAAACCCAGGGATCACTTTTCCGGTTGATTTTATCTGTGAAAGAGGCACGTGAGGCAAGTGACCTGTGCTATAAACTTTAAATGCCAATTTTGCCCTTATTAGTGAGAGAGAGTGAGTAATAAACCCCCAAACCAGTCGCTCCAACCATCGGTGACCTGTTTCCTCCTTCGACAATTAACGATGGTACAGTGCAGAGTTATGGTCACTGCAAAGAGCAACAAACCGATGCTTTCAACCAAGTAGCAACCTTCACAACGCTACCATCTTCTCGTATAACCAGGTTGCCGGAGCGCGACCCAGAAACCACCACGGACGGCAACCCATGGTCATCGTCCCTCTCTAAAATTATTGGGTTGCTGACCAGCGAAAGCGATGCAACCCTCTTCAAATCGTGACCCAAGGTCGCTACTCTTCACGATAGCTAATTTCACCGTCCGGTGACTTGGAGACTTGTACCACAGCGGCACAAGGTCGCTGAGCAGTAGTTTTGGACATGGGTCGCCATGAAGTCGACCTTTCCAAGCTGTGATGCACCTACGTAGCCGCGACCTTTCGGTCGCTTTTTTGCGACGCTGATGACTACTGCCGGAGCAGTGCCTCCATTGCAGGCCATGAAAAGGAAAGAGAAAAGAAAAAAAGGTTAGACAGAAGAGAGAGATAGAGAGGGAGGAGGGGGGAGGTTCGTACAGTAGCTATGTTGGTGTTGCAATGGATGAGTTAGGGTTTCAAAGCTTCACTTTCAGGGTTATTCTATTTAGTTGTAATGGACTGGTTGATTTTTGGGTTCGGCGCTGACTCTGTTTGGCGTTGAAGTTTTGGTAAAGTGATAATGAGTTGTCCAAATAATATTGGTTGTTCACAATTTGTTTGACACATCAGCAATAGGAGCCAATCAAACACTAAAACGACGTCCTTTTATAAAAGGGTAATTTTGTAATCAAACATCTTCGGTAACCTCTAATGCCAAAGACTATTCATTTTGTTCTTAAATTATACATTTTTAATAGATCAGGGAGCATTTTTTTTAGTTTAAGGAGGTTTTGTGTTTTTTGCTGAAAGATTAAGGGGGGTTATATGCACTTTACCCTTAATGATATGATAAATTAAAAAGATCAACTCAAATTAAATTGAATGAGTATTGTTTAGACGGGTGAGTTAGATTAGAGCAAGTCTCGCGAATCCAACTTCTATGAAAATTTCGCACTAAGTGGCAATCTGTTTCAGCTTAGCTTTAATTGCGAACCCTAATGATTATATATTTACAGCTTCTAATTTTCTAAACTAACCTTTTAAACTTGATATGTACTTGATTAACTTGAACTAAATTAAAAAAATATGCCCCTTTCCTTTTTTGAGTAGCCCAAAATAAATGTCGCAATTAACCCTTGTATTATGGTAAGTAAGGAGAAAAAATTCAAGAAATGATGCTACTCAAAGTCAATATTCCTCTCTTTAATGATACTCAAAGTACTATTTTGTATAACATTACCAATTTAACCTTCTTATATTGAACTTATAAAAGATAAATCATCACACATAATTTGATAATTTATTCATTGTCAATATAATAATAAAATATTAAAACTCTTTTTTTTTTTTTTTTTTTTTCATCGCCAAGGCACAAAGGCCAAGCCATCAATGGTAGTAGAGAGGCAAAAAGTCAAGCCAATAAAGGCATACAAATCATGAAGCAAAACAAGAAAATGAAGAACAAGCTCTAGATTTGTTGAGAAAGAGCCATAGTTCAACAACAGAAACCACCAAAGAAGAAGAGTAGCAACGGAAGTGATCTAAAGGTTTGGCCATCATCATGGCAACAATTCCAAAGTTACATCCATAAGGGGTCTCCAACAGGGGAAAAACCACCCAAACTCCGCACAAAATAAAATCAAGTTAGGGACAACAAAAACTGACATAGATAATAGATCTAGCCGAAGAGAAAACATTAGATCCACCCAATCTAGCCGCAAACAAGCCAAATTGGAGCCGATCTAACAAAACAAAAACAAAAACGACGTGAAAATCACCCACAGAGCGAACCTATTGATACGTGCCAAGTTTTTTTAACCCGTGGGAGGTAAGAAATGGCACTTCCCCACTCCCATGGAAGGGGTTAAGGAAAAGAAACCGGATAGGGAAGACGAAGTTGATCAGACAGAAAGTGTAGAGCGAGAACATAGAAAAAGTAGAGATATTGCTTAGGGCCTGTTTGGGAAGTGTTCCCATTTGTTTTGTAATGTTTCAGGCCCGCTACAGTAGTCCATTTTGAGAACAAAATATGTTTGGGCCAGCTTGTTTTGTTTTCAATAGTACCAGAACACTCCAGATTTTTGGGTCCAAAATTGAAACAACATTTTGGTATTCTCGTTTGTTCCGAGTTTATTTGGGCTACAAAAGTGACTGTAGCGGAAGGAACAAAAATAATTTTTTTTTAGGGCAAATCATTTCAGCCTCCCAATCCCCTCCATCTCTATTCTCGTTCTCAACTCTTAAGTTGCCCTCTCTCTTTCTGCAATTGGAAACTACAAAATGTACAAGAATCAGAAATTCAAAACTCGCCTCCATCTCTATTCTCGTTCTTAACTCTGAACTTGCCCTCTCTCTTTCTTTCTCTCTACAACTACAAACTACAAAATCTACAAGAATCAGAAGTTCAAAACCCATATATTTCAGTTTATGTATCTGTCTGCAAGAATCAAAAGTTCAAAACCTATTACCTATATCAAAACCCCTATATCGGCATATCATTGCAGATTGTTCAAAAAATCAAAACCCATATCTTTCAGTTTCCATCGCCCGCTGTTCCAGTTCTGGTTTGCTGTTCGCAAGCTTCAGCCGCTGTCTCTCAACTCTCAAGTTTGCCCCCCTCTCTCTCTGCAACTGCTAACTTGTGTGTATGGGTTTTGTTTTAATTTTTTTTTCTAAATCAACTAATCAAGCTCTGTAATTCTTGTTTGCAAACTAAATCGTATTTGGTGAAATTTTTTATTTGTGTATATTTTGCAAACTAAATCGTATTTGGTGAAATCAAGCTCTGAAATTTTCATTTGTGAAATTTTTTATTTGTGTATAATTTTTTATTTATAAATCAACTAATCAAGCTATCTCATAATAGTTATTATCATAGATGATTTTGTAGTTCATATATATATATATATAGTATGTATTTATGTATATTTTGCCTCTCCTTTCAGCTGCAAAGGCATAGATCTGATGCAGGGCCGGCCTTGAAATTGAAAAAATCTTGAGAGGCCCTAGGCAGACTTTAAATGTGAGGCCCTCTATATATAAGTGATATACTTGCCCTAATTTTTTTTTTTTTTTTTTAGACCCCTTTTTGCTGCATTTGGTTAGACTTTTTTTTTTTTTTTGGTAGCCTATCATTCCTGAGGCCCTTTGTTGCAATTATAAATTTTTTTTTTTGGTGGCCCAACATTCATGGCCTATAAATTTTGATTTGCAAAATTTGGTTGTAATTTTATTTTATTTTTTGTGGCCTATCATACATGGGCCTAAATTTGGAGGCCCTTGTATTCTGAGGCCCTAGGCGACTGCCTTGGGCCAGGGCCGGCCCTGATCTAATGATTTGTTTCTTGATGGCTTTGTTCTGATGATCAGTTGGAAAATTAATTTATTTTAATCATCCAAAAAAAAAACCATATAGGCATACATTTCAGATTATTCAAAAAATCAAAACCTATATCTTTAAATTTAGGAATATTTTTAGAAGGTCAAAAATGCTGCCAAACATATTTTACCATGTTTCTATTTCAAAATTAATTTTCGTCCCAAACATATTTTGTTTTCATTTCAGAACACCATGTTACAAAACACTTGTTCTGATCTAAGTTAAAAAAAACACTGTAAAATACAACACTTTCTCACTAAACTCGACTTATTAAATGGTGCAATTGATGTAGTTGGTTTTGCTGTGGGTCATGTTTGGGATCTCGTAAGTTTAAATTGTAGATGCTAATGTAAGCTTCCCTCACACTTAAAAGCCTCCTTCACATGTTTTTGGATAAGATATAATTTTCCTTAACGTTGAGTGAGAGGTGGAGGCCAAATGGAGAAAGCTAAAGAGTGTCTGCAATTGAGTGAGGAAGAACTGGAGCAAGTCTCGCGACTCACCATTCCTTCTCACCGAGTTGGCGTCCAACCCTGCAGCTTCTACGAATATTATGCACTGAGGGGCATCCGAGTCCACCGAGTCGAACCCGGTTTCGTCGCCTGTACTTTCAAGGTCCCTCCTCGTCTCACCGTAAGTAATAACCCCAAATCCCCCCATATTTATCTTTTCAGTGGATATCCCTTTATTCATCTTTGGAAATTTGGGCAATACAAACATATATATTTTTTTTGTGTGATATGTTTCAGCTTAGCTTTAATTTTGATAATGATTGTATGTGGGTGGCAGGCACATAGATTTCTTCAAATTTTTACCCTATATATATGTATGTATGTATATATGTATGAAAGAAATCATTTCCATAAAATTAAACAAAAGATAAACTAAAGCTTCCAATTTTCTAAACTAAAGTTTCTGAAAACCTGAAAAAAGGAAATCAAATTTAGAAAACCTTGACCAAATAAAACTTAAATTGTTTGCAAATTGATTGACATTTTAAATATTATATTTTGTACAGAGGTATGCCCCTCTTCTAGCATTGTTCATTTCTTATAAAACAATACCCCAAAAAAACAAAAACCAAAAACCAATATATATACATATATATATAGAGAGATATATATTATAGTGTGATATTTTTCCCTATCTTTATTGTTGGCAACCCCCTCCTCCAAAAGATTTTTTTTTTTTTTTTTTTTCTTTTTTTCTTTTTCCAAGTCCTAAAAAATATATGTTGGCAATAAGTTTCTGTCATTATGGAGTGGACAAAGCAACAGGGCCTGCCCTGGCCCAAGGCGACCAAGGCGGTTGCCTTGGGCCGCAGAGTTTAGAGGGCCTCAAATTTTGAGGCCCATAGGGGATGGAAAAAATAAAAAATAAAAAATAAAAAATAAAAAAAAGTTAGGGCAAGTTTCAGACGACACAATCTGCTTCGACACTCCGCAAGGCGCAGCCTCCGCTATCTCCTCAGGTGACAAGGTATGTTCATCCTCTCTCTCTCTTCTCTCTTCTCTCTCCTTTTGCATGAATCGATCTTTTATAATGTTTCTTTCTTTCGTTGATCTCATCATTTGATTTGTTCTAACTTTGGTTTGTTTGATTCGGGCCTTTGCCTTTGTTCCAATAGTGAAAAGTAGCTAGGGTTTTGTGTGTGTCACTGTGTGTGATGGCTATCAAAAGCTGAATGAATATATTATGGTTCTCTTAGTATTTTAATAAATGTGTGCCTTTCTACATGTGTCTTTCATGGCGATCGAGTCCATAATCTATGGCAGGTACTTTTTTTTTTTTCCTCTCCCTAAGTCCACTCCAATCTCACAACAGCAGCAACCATACCCCTTTTCCTCATAATTTTTTTGCATTTTCACATTCAATCCCACGAAAATTAAGGATCTCTTCTAGTGGGTTGAGATAATAATTAACTTTTTTGATCTCTAAATTATGCTCATACTTAAAAGTGCCAAATTATGGGTTTTTTTATTTTTATTTTATTTTTATATGAAGATGCATACCACCATTATTGATGTTATTTGAAGTTGGCTTAGCTAGAATGTCAGTTAATAATACTGTCAAAGCACTTGCCAACAGAATGTACAAACACATGGAAATCAAGAGCAGGCTTTTAACAAAACAAAAGTTAATGGTTTTTTCTATTAATTTGCACAAGTCTTCTGTAGCAACGATCAATCAATCACTGCGGGTAGTTGGCTCCCAAAAAACACACACACAAAGTGCAGTGCAGTTAATATAAAGAGTGAAAGAAAACTATATATGATAGTGGATGACACATGTAACCTAAAAGTCCCACTACTTCTTCAGTACTACAAGTTAAGCCACATATATATATATATATATATATATATATAGTCACCTCATCACTACATACTTTTGGCACATGTAATCATCAAATTTTAGTAGTTTTATAAACAATGAATGTAAAACAAGCTACAGTTTTCTGTTCTCTTTCATTTTTTATTTTGTGCCTGTGAAAATTTCGCACTCTTTAATTGATAAATTTATTGTTATTAGTTAGCTATCTTATGCATACTGCACATGCGCACAATTTGCGCACAATTATTTATTGGTGGTGATAAAAATTTATAGTTATTAGTTAGTTGTCTTAAGTACATTACACAAACGCATAATTATTTATCGGTGGTGATAGATTTATACTTATTAGTTAGTTGTCTTATGCACATTGTACAGACGCACAATTATTTGTTGGTGGTGATAAATTTATAGTTATTAGTTAGTTGTCTTATACACAATGCACAGGGGCACGATTATATTAGCTATAGAATTTAAAAACATCGTGTTAAAATTTCGCACTCTTATAATTCTTTTTTGCGCATGTGAAACTCAAGGGCCTCACATTTGAAAGTTCGCCTAGGACCTCTCAAAATATTTGGAATCCTGCAAAGCAAGTTCATATCTTATCATAATCAACTGTTAGAAAAGAAAATTAATACACTATGGTTTTGGGTTGGGGTAGGTGTAAGGTTGTCTCTTGTGTAGTAAAAGAAAATTCTGGCTCAAATCGATGTTAGTTTGGTTAATAAAGCTGAAACAAAAATAGAAATGGAACTAGGTGCGCGAATGGGCAAAACGTAAAACTGCTATTATAAGTCGCGACAGCGCTTGCAAATCATTGACATGTAAAGAGGTTGTGTGATTGCAACATTTCTGTATCATAGGGTTAGGGGTGGTAAATGGGCGAGTTGGATCGGGTTGAAAATAGACGGGTCAAATATGGGTCAAAATTCATTTTCAACCCGTTCAGTGAAAAATGTATCGTGATGTTTCCATTTTTCACCATTTTCTATTTTTCTGAAATTTTTGTCATTGCAAGGCATTTTCGTCTTTTGTTTTTTTGCGTACCAGACACTGTGAAGTGTGCCGGTTGTGTCCGAGAGTTGGTTGGAGCATTTCATTGAGTCTAGGACTCTTTGAAATGCAGGGGTGGCCATTTTGGCATTTTTTCCGTTTTTCGGGCCGGACGGTCCCGTGTTGGACCCGCTACCGGAATTATTGCATATGGAGATTTTAGTTGGGTCCATTTGCATTCCATGCATCTTATTTAATGTGTTTTATGTGAGTTTTATATAATTGTATATGTATATGTGTGTCGTGGTAATTAAAGAGAAAAAAAAAAAAAAAAAAATTCTTATTTAAAGGCGGGGCCCACATTTTTTGTTTTTAGAAAAAGATGAATTGCCAATTTTTGGCCTCACTTTTCCTTTTCACTCTCTCTCCTTGCAAGTCTCTCTCTCACCCTCTCAATTTCTTTTTTTTCTTTCCCTTTTTACTTTAAAGCTTCAATCATTGATTTCTCTCAAACCGTTGAGGGATTTTTGATGCTATTTGAGGCAAATTAGAGAGCGCGTCGAGATCTACGATTTGATCGGAGCAAATTTTCATTTGGTGCACTTTGAAATTTCGAGATCTAGGGCACAAAATTGGGGGGTTTTGCTTATTTTGAGGTAGGGGTTTCTAATTTCCAATTTTTTGTTCCTTTGTGAATTTTCTTTCAATATTTGTTGTCAAGCATGTCTAATTTGAGTTGATTGCCTTGAAAATAATATTATTGTTGTAGATGAAATCTATGATTATATGTATTAATTAAATTGTATGAAAAGTATGCGTAAATATTAATTTCCATGCCATGGTGTTTATTATCTTGCTAGAAATTGTTATGTGGAAGCATGTTAAATTGTGTAGTAGAATTTTTTTTATTTTCACAGTAATGTCAAAGCATGTAACATGCATTCATAGCATTGGGCATAGAGAAAGGACAAAATGATTTGAAGTGAATGAAAAAGGTATTTTGGGGCAAAGTTTTGATTAAAGCGATTTTATGAAAAATCCGGTCGCCGCGGAGTCACCAAAGGGCCGCGGTGTTAATGTAACCTAGATGGAACTAAGGGAATCACCCTAGCGTGGTTGAGCTATCTGGGCCCCAAATGACGCCGCGGAGGTACCAAGGGTCAGGGACAGTAGCCAATTCTTCTCTCGTGTCATTGCGGAGTCGCCAATGGACGGGTTATATTAACAGTTTGTGAAGTGATGGATGATTTTGAAAATGGGGAGCGACATAGCACGGTATTGCATTTCATAGCACCATATTGCTCATTTGAACTTGATATTTGATGTTGTATTTCCCTAGTAAAGCATGATCCCCTTTTCTACATCTTTATTCTTTATGTGGATTCACGGGGTCATAAGAGGTGTGCCTTAGGCACCACCTACTGAGCAATTTGCTTACCCCATTAATTTAACATTTTCAAGACTCGGGAAGGAAGTTGTGGATACCGACCCGTCACAAGCTTAAAGAGGATTAGAAATTCATTTTTTGTCATCTTTTGTGTATTTGGATCCATTCTTTTGTAAAGTCTCAAACCTTGATAAATTGTGTTCATTTTGCAAACCATGGCATGTATTGTAACTAAGATACTTGACTGTATTTTGATGTAAATTTGAGATTATGTAAATGCTTATGTTGAATGGGAGGATGATGATATATTTTGAGAAATTAGTAACGTTTATATCTGTGTGATGTTGTATATTTTGCTATGAATTCGGACTTGTTTTGAGCATCAAGTTTTTCTCACAAGTTGGCATACGGGGTTTATGGCATTATTGATGTTTTGAGACTGCACATAGCAGCATCCCAGGGCCTGTCGGTCGGCTGACAGTGCATTTTGTTGCATTCCAGAGAGTTGAGTCAGGAGAAGCCTTGTTTCGGCCAGCTGAACCTCATCATCAGCCGACTGAAACCCCAGGTTCGGCCAACCGAACCTTGCCACCAGCCGACCGATGTACCATTGTAGTAGAATCCCGAGAGCATACATTCTGCACAATCGTTTCAGCCGGCCGACCATTTAGGTCAGTCGACCAAACCTGCCTTGTCAGCCGGCCGACCATGTAGGTCATCAGCCGGCTGATCATTTCCTTTTGACCTGTATCATTTAACCCTCTCTGTAAGGTTGTGTCTTAGGATTTTTTGGAACCCAGATTGATTCGTATGGCAGATATGGACACAAGAAATTGATGGTATAACTTAGTTGACTTCGGGTTCGGGTAAGGATCCGGTTAACGATTCGGACCCACGGGTCCAGGTCGTTATATGTATAGGGTCAACTGTTATGATCCGTGAACTCATTAATTATTATTATTTAACTATTTTTTAAATTATTTATTTATTTATTTTAATTTTTAATTTTTATTAATTATTTTTAATTTTATTAATTATTTTTAATTTTTTATTTTTTTTTCCGGAAGGTTTTAAAATTTTATTTAATAACAAATAAAAAAACACAATCTCAAACTTAGCAATATTTATCGACTCGTTTTAGAGAGAGAGAAGTGAAGGAAAGAGAAGAAATTTCTAAAGAGAGGGTATTGATGAGTGACAAATTTAGAGAGAGAGAGGATCGTGAGTGAGAGAATTTGAGAGAAAGAGAAATGAGTTAAGTGCACTGTAGAATAGATGTGTGTTGTGTTTTATTAAGTAGTTAAAAATTACTCAACCTATTTTTGACCCATTTAAAATATGGTTCATCCAAAATCATTAAAAAATGAATGAATATGAACGGGTTAATGCGTTTGTGACCTATTTTGCCTCGAGTTATATCACCAACGTTCTAATTGTGTAGGCTACAGCTTTTATTGATTTTCTTATGATAGTTAGGGTTCATTTTGGTTTCGCTTTACCAGGATAGGACTGGAAAGTTGGCTTCTGGTGTAATTGCGAACCTAGTTGATGAAGTTGGTGGTGTCGTGGTCCGTGCTAAGAGTCTCCCCAGGAGTGTTTCAGTGGACATGTCGATATCATTCCTTTCAACTGCAAATGCCAATGTAAGCTAGCCTCGTACTTAAAGCCTCTTGAAGGTGTTTATGGATGGGACAGTTTTATCTTTCTACTTCGCACTTATTTATAAGATTTGGATTTATACATGTTTATGTGTTACATATTACATCTCTGGATGGCTTATTTACAGGATGAGTTGGCAATTACCTCAAGGGTTTTAAGACAAAGAGGAGGTTATTCCGGAACAATCGTGCTTTTGAGAAACAAGGCAACTGGGGAGATTATTGCTGAAGGTAGGCATTCATTGTTTCGTAAACATGCTAGCAAAATGTGAGCCTACTGCACTCTTTTGAATGTGAATCTAAACACCATCTGAAATGTACTACGACTCCCGCCATTATGAATTCCGGAGAGGGTTAGATTTACAGTATTACTTCGAACCGTGATCAGGATATCACAATGGAGGTTGCTCTTTCTTATTTTAAATGCATATCTTCTCCAAGAATAATAACGTTTCGTGAAAGAAGCTGGGAGAAATGGCCGATTGATGGGTCCAGGAAGTTTTAGATTTTCGAAGTGGAAGCTTTGAGAGAGAGAGAAATGGCCGATTGATGGGTCGAGAATGTTGATGACATTTTACATTTTTGTGTCTTCCGCATCTCTCCCACTTTTTTTTGGTCATTACATGTCAAGATTCATTTCCATAATCAAAATCTTGTTACTTGTGATAGGAAAGGATTTGTTTGTAAAGTAGTCACCGATTGGATTGTGTGGTCTGTGGAATGAAGATGAAGATTTAGTTGTATCTCCTCTCTTTTTAATTTAAAATGAAAGACAATAGCAATATTGTGAGAGTTCTTTGTTTTTAAATAAAAATAAATAGATGTACGACCCTGCCCTTGTGAACTGACTGTTTTTTCCATTGCACGAATTCAGTAATGACCGCATACATATGAATGTAGATACAAAATCAATCTTCAAACAATCTTTCCAACCAAACATATTTATTTATTTATTTATTTATTTATTTATTTTAATTTCTTGTTGTGATACTTGCAATAAAGAGTTAGTGATACAAAGTTTTTTTTTTTCGGAAAATAGTTAGTGATACAAAGTTCGTCAGTGAAACAAATTCGACTATATTCATGATGAGTCAGACACAAATTCTTTAGCTTTTGGTCGGATTTTTCTATTAAACGAGAAGATCGGTTTTTGATAATCTTTTTTAGCTACTTACTCGAGGAAAAAATTGTTAGCTGAGATATTAAAACAAAATCTCCTACAAGAAAATTAAATAATTAAAATTAATATATATATATAGTAGAAGTGCAAATTATATAAATAAAAGTTGTTTTTTTTTTTTTTTTTTTTGTAAGGTTTAGTTTATATTTGTAGTACGATCAAATTAGGTTTATTTATCATAAGTCGGTGGATGATGAAGATTCGAGTCTCCAAATTAGCAAAGTGAGCGTGTGAACTTTTTTTTTTAAAAAAAAATTCAAGACATTAATACAAAAAAATTGAAACATTTCAAAAAGAAAGAGGCAGGTATATTTTGACAAGAACACGATTCTAACACACGCGTCTAAACTTCTTTAATAAATGAATTAAACGGATTGTAAGGCGCACGTGTTAAAATACAACATACTAAAAAAAGTAAAAATATTAAGTTAAAAATTATGAAATGATTAATTTTTTTTTTATTAACTAATTTCATATCCACAAAACTATCTAACGTGGCAATTAGAAAATTACACATGCTATTTTGCTGAAAATTGATGAATTCATATTTCCTACGTGTTAAACTTGGCTTTATATGCTTCACTTGTTGGTAGAATGTCAATTGTTTGTGACCATGCCCTTAACTTGTAAAATGCTAAATTAGTGTAAGTGCTGAAATTCGTGTCTTAGATGCTCATGCTTACCGTGTTTAAATTGTGCATGTCATATGGTAGACGAAATGTCCATGTGTTTTTACGGCGACTTGAGTCAAATGATATGTATGGGTAAAATGAGTCTTTTCATCGCTGTGTGTTGATTTGTCCGTGATGGTTGACGTTTTTTAAAAACAGACGGAGAGTTGCCTTTACACGATTTACTTAGAATTTTAATTCCAAGTTATTTTTAATATTTTACTATAATCTGGTTGGCAGGTGCTTCGGTAAATTTTAAAAGTGTTAGACTTCGACTATTTATATTTACTAATCTAACTTATAACCCTTCTTATCTGGTAAAAAAAAAAAAAAACACTATAATCATATTAAATTTAAATTGAATTGAGTATTGTTTAGACGGGTGAGTTAGATTAAAGCAAGTCTCGCAACTCACCATTCCCACTCACCGAGTTGGCGTCAAAGCGTCGAATCCAGCTTCTATGAAAATTTCGCACTGAGGGGCATCCGAGTCGAACCTGGTTTTATTATTATTCTTTTTTTTTTTTGGGGGGTTAACTTTAGTTACACCCCTTGTGGTTTGTCTAATCTTTAAGGAGACCCCCACATTTGTAAAAATTCAGTCAGATTCCTTACTTTTTTTTGACACACATGGACCTCTCTCTCTCGGTCAATGGTCAAAGCTAATCAGAGACACTTTTTACTAACATCATAAAAAAAAGGTAAATAATAATGCCCAAATTACCCTCCAATGATCATGTTTCGCTAAATTGTATATATCACATTTTATTTGGATATGGAATTGCACATAATTTGGAATTGCACTGTGCTTGTAACCAAACAGGGTTATACTATATATATATACCGTCACCACCGCTTCTTCGTTGCTCGCCGTTCAATGGGGATTGGGCGCCATGGTCGGTAAAGAAGGTGGATGTATAACAATAGCGGTTATATATATTTATATTATATATATATATATACACGGCACTTTCCCAATATATATATATATACAGAAGCATCAAATCTGGTTCATAATATACATACTCACATATTACACATGCAAATAGAAATGTATGCGCAGAGAGACTAGAATGCAAATCACAGTGGGAAAGAGTGTGATCACTCTTATCACTGATATGAAGTATGAACTGTGTTTGTAATCAGGATTTTAGAGGAATTGAATTTTAAAGAGAATTTCACTTGTTTAAAGAGTCATGGAATTTGAAAGGATTAAAATAAAAATAAAAATAAAAATAAAAACAATTTATCACTGACAAATTTGAGAAAAATTGATAAGATTTATATTCTTCTATTATAGAATTTTTTTTTTTTTTTTTTTTTTTTTTTTTTTTTTTTTTTTCTTTCGCATTCTCTTTTACAATTATATATATATATATATATATATATAAATTTATTTTCACAAAATTCAGTTTATTCCAAACACCAACACCAATTCTATTTTAATTACCATTTAATTCCTTTTTCTAGTTCTAATTTCAAATCTCAAAATAATTTGATTCGTTGAAACTTTCATTGCTAAACACACTTTTGGCTACAGTAAAAGATGTATTGCGCCTGCTCGTCGGTGGTCTTCCAGTTTGGTTCGTCTGTCAGGAACAAGTAATAATCATTTTCCAAGATCCCTAATATCCTCAAAATCAGCTTTTCAGCAACAAGTTAAATATTGCATGGCCTTCTCATTACACCAATTGTTAAAAGCAATTGGGCGCCGTCGTCGGTGAAACGGCCCAGCGATGAACTATGTTTGAAGTTATGGGTGTCACTTATTAGAAGCTGATGTGGCATGTTGACAAGTCAATACAATCCTTACCAAATCCTCCGTGACAATTTGAAAAATCAAAAGCCTCGAAGGATCAAACTTCGAGCACCCTAAGCCCTGGTATCACTCCAGGCCCATCAAGCCTCGAAAGATCAAATTTCGAGCACTCTAAGCCCTAGCATCGCTCCAGGCCCATTAAGCCCCGAAAGACCAAACTTCGAGCACTTTAAGTCCTGGCATCACTCCAGGCCCATTAAGCCTCGAAAGATTAAACTTCGAGCACTCTAAGCCCTGGCATCGATCCAGGCCTATCAGGTCTCGAAAGACCAAACTTCGAGCATACAAAGCCCTGGAATCGCTCCAGGCCCATCAAATCTCGAAAGATCAAATTTTGAGCATAAAAAGCCCTAGAATCGCTCTAGGCCCATTAAGGCTCAAAAGATCAAACTTCGAGCATACAAAGCCTTGGAATCGCTCCGGGCCCAATAAGCCTCGAGAAGCCGATCCTCGAGCATCCCAAGCCCTGGCACCACACCAGGCCCATCAAGTCTCGAAAGATCAAATTTCGAGCATACAAAGCCCTGAAATCGCTCCAGGCCCAATAAGCATCAAGAAGACGATCCTCGAGCATCTCAAGCCCTGATAACACACCAGGCCCATCAAGTCTTGAAAGATCGAACTTCGAGCATACCAAGCCCTGGAATTGCTCCAGGCCCAATAAGCCTTGAGAAGCTAATCCTCGAGCATCCTAAGCCTTGGCACCACACCAGGCTCATCAAGTCTCGAGAGACCAACTCTCGAATACCTCGAATCCTAGTGTTATGCCAGACAATACTGCTTTGAAAGGTTGGAGCTCTAGAGGGCTCGCCATCAAGGGATTGCGTATATCACGAGACGAAGGTAGGGTCTTCGTGTTATAAGAATCTATGTTTGGGAAACTTAGGAGGATCTTGGATTGGTGGATGAGAAGTCAAGAGGTGTCTTCGCTCTTGGCAAGGCCCAATTAACAAGATGATGGGATTATACATGTCATGACAGCAAACCTTAAAATCACAATTAATGTTATGCCAGGCTTGTCCAACCAACAACTAAGTAACATTTAATGCCCCTGATTAAGGGAGAAGTGACATGGCAACATAGGACAAGGCTCGAGGAAAGGATTAAACCCTTCAGACTCCTAAATCTCCAGGATTACTCACGTAATCCAGATTGGGGGTAATGCATGCGAGGGACCATGCATAGAAGGAACCATTGGATAATAACCAATAGAATCCAGATCTATAAATGGCACTGTCCTATGAAAGAATAACCAACCCCAGAGGAAGAAAGCTGTCATAAGATATTGTATACTCGCCCTACCACCATCTTTATCTTGATAGTTGGTCTTCTTCTCCTCCTCCTATACTGAGCATCTTCTCTATTTTCCTTCGTATTTGTATTCCTAATATCACTATTATATTATTGTTTTATTATCTAGTTGAAAAGAACCCCTGCAGAAGTAACAGGCAGCGAAGAAGATGAACCGCACCGGTGACGCAAGGATACGATTGTGATGGAGGTGCTCGGCGATGACGAGCTTTCCAGCGAGCGAAACCCAATTTTTTCGACAAGTTTCATCGACCCAAAACGGAATAAAGCTACATCAACCTATCTAACTGACCCAACAGTGAGCTCAAGAAAACCACCCACGTTTGGAAAATCCCAACTTAGATTCGCAAGCTCCAAACAACCACCCACATCAGAAGATTGTTTCAATGGTGCAAGATCACGAAACGGATCTCATTCTCACTGACCGACTACAGTTCGGCCACTCCCTTGCGCTTGCGGCGTTCACTCAATTGCCAGATTCCTTGCTCACATTATCATAGCGTTGTCGTCATTTGGTCCGCCGGTAAGTTTAGTGCTGCCTTAGGCAATTGAGTACGCTTTCATACAGTATTGGAATTAGGGAAAAGAACAATTTCACTGTTTCGTTCAAAAGATAGGGTAACGTTTGGTGGGAGTTAAGCTTATATGGGATAAGGACAAAAAGGGCAAATTATCATGCCACTCATTGGCTTTGTTAGTCGACAATGTCGGAGAGGGGATTTGACTGAATTTTTATAAATGTGAAGGGGTCTTCTTGAAGATTGAACAAATCATATGGGTGTAACTGAAGGTAACCTTTATTTATTTATTTTAACACAGATAAAATGAAAAATTAAAGTGGGCCATTAAAATCTTTTGTTATTAAGCGTAGCGTGAAATCATTTTCTCACGAGCAGCGTTTTCCTTCCTCTATGAGCCACAGCGAGCCAGACTCGCTACTCAGTAGTGTTGCTCACAATTTCACAGTATGAATTTCTCACTCGCTCTCGACCAACCGATTCGTTATCGTTCGCGTTCGAGCTTTCAAAACCCTAAACCCTTCGCAATCCGAACAACAGCAAGCATTGGATTTGGAGGATTATCTTCTCTTCCCAAGGACTCATCATCAATTGATGGCTGTTCCATATCATCATCTTCTGGTACTGCTTTGAGAATTCGATTTGCAAACAGTGAACATGAATTTCGCAATCTTCGAACGGCTAGAGTTAGGGCTTCTTCGGAGGAAGCTCAGTCCATCACGAGCGGTTCGTTTGGGGACGAAGACGAAGTTCCACAGTCAAGATTCGTGGAGTTCATCACTTCGGAGAGAGTCAAAGTGGTTGCAATGCTTGCCTTGGCCTTGGCGCTTTGTAATGCCGACAGAGTTGTCATGTCTGTTGCCATAGTTCCTCTCTCGCTCGCTAATGGTTGGCGCCAGTCCTTTGCTGGCGTTGTTCAGGTCACCTTCTTTATCTCTCTTTCCATATATGTGTGTGTGTGTGTGAAATTGTATTAATTGCGTATAACTAGGGCAAACTATTGTTGATGTATCAAGAATTTGCTGAATTGGATTTCTTTTGTGAAGACTAATGGAAATTTGACCTGAACAGATATATGATTATTGGAATATATGTTTTTATTTTCCGAAGTATTTTAACAATCATTTCGTAATACACTTTGTAATTGTAGTGATAGAAGTTAAGTTAAATGTGATTTGAACCGATATTGTATAGTAAGCTTTAAGTGGCTTTTGTTTGAGCAGGTAGTTGCTTAATTACTCTTAACCCAGAAAGAATCGTAATGTTGTTACTTTTAATTATTTGGACTGCCATAAACTTTATACTTTTGTTCTCTCCATCTTTTTTTGTCTGTTCAGTTTCAACCAAGTGACAGAATTATGATTCAATATTTGATTATGAATTGCATTGTTTATGGAAATTTCAACATTTTTTCAAATGCATTAAACTGTTACTGGCATACTAAGTTGTCTTTGGCTCTAATCTCAAGTGAAATGATAGTATGAAAATTTCCACAATGAGCTTAACTTCATGAAATAATTTGTTCGTTATTCAGTACTAAACTGAGTGTTGTACATATAGGCAAGAATGGATTTCTTTCCCCCTTTAAATTTCAAAGATATGTTATGACGAACCAATGGATCAAACTTCTTATAGATTTTTTATTTCTACGTTTAATTTTTTGTGTTAATCTTGTCACTAATTTTCAACTGTTGTATTGGATTCTCTTAAACTGATTATATGCAGTTTTGAACTTGGAACTTAATAAATTTATAGATGTAGTTTGTTCTTAAGAAATTCGTTTGCTGTTTTACTTGTGTTTTATTGCATCTGATTCGTTAATAGCCACTAATGACAGTCATCTTTTCTCTGGGGATACCTGATGTCACCAATAGCGGGAGGGACTCTTGTGGACTATTATGGAGGTAAGGTTGTCATGGCATGGGGTGTGACTTTGTGGTCACTAGCCACCTTTCTTACTCCTTGGGCTGCAGAAGCTTCTTTATGGGCATTACTTGCTGTTCGAGTTTTGCTTGGTGTTGCAGAAGGTGTTGCTCTTCCCTGCATGAATAACATGATAGCAAGGTATTGAAGTTAAACAAACTCCCTAATTGAAGATAGTACAATAGTATTTTGCATTATTTATTCTGTAATATGTTCTTTTACGTAGTTAAAAGGTTGGCGAAGCTAAATGATCAAAAATTGTTTGAACTTTGCTTTTAGATGGTTTCCTCAGACAGAAAGATCTAGGGCTGTTGGACTTGCAATGGGTGGATTTCAGCTTGGAAATGTTATTGGACTTATGCTTTCTCCAATCCTCATGTCACAGGGAGGTATATTTGGACCATTTGTTATATTCGGATTATCTGGATTTCTCTGGGTTTTGGTATGGTTATCGGCAACGTCAAGCACTCCTGATCGAAGTCCTCAAATATCAAAAAGAGAGTTGGGATACATACAGAACAATACACGGAAATCCTTTGTGGTTGAGAATAAATTGAAGACAGACAAAGTGATCCCTCCATTCAGGCGCTTGCTTTCTAAGCTTCCAACATGGTCTCTAATTGCTGCAAATGCAATGCATAGCTGGGTAATCCACGCATATCTGTACCTATTGTATTCTATATGTCATGTTGTTAATGATTTTTAATAATATGTACTCCGTACCATGATTGAGTTGTCCCTCCATGCTGCTATTATTTGCTGGTGCTGATAATTTTTTTTGAAATTACCATCATAAAGGAAAGTCTATTATAACAGGGGAAAAGTGGTGGATTAAGAGGGAACCCTCACAGATTGCTGGCTTCATTTGATAATTATATAAATCCATTATATGTATCTTCATATCCATTTGTTTGTTTATGCATGCTTTTTGTGTATCTATTTATGTAAATATTTAATACACCAATTTTTGTAGGTTTACTTATGATTATTTTATGCAGGGATTCTTTGTCATTCTTTCATGGATGCCCATCTACTTTAACACAGTAAGGCCATGTTACTTAGTTATTTTACTGTAATTTTTTAACACATACCTAAAGGACTACACAATTGTGGATGAATAAATGCTTCTTTTCTGTAGATATATCACGTTGACCTCAGACAAGCAGCATGGTTTAGTGCTGTTCCATGGAGTATGATGGCAATATTAGGCTACTTTGCTGGCGTTTGGTCAGACATGTTGATACAAAATGGCACAAGTGTCACTTTGACCCGCAAAATCATGCAGGTAATTTATCGCTGATATTTATTTCTACTGTGGGGATTATTTTTTTTGATGATTCCTTTTTCGGAATGATTTTTTTTCTCTTTATTTTATTAAAAATTCCGGGGAACAGGTACATCTCTTCATCTACTATAGTGCATTTTAAAGTGCATTAATTTGTTAAGTCATGCATGTTACATTCTTGTAACCAAAAGTTCTAACTAACACTAACAGCAGCTGTGATGATAATGATCAAGGTATAACAGACACGGACTCTAATGGTTCTATATAATCACTGCCGCTATCAAACTATATATCTTTTTGTTTCATTCTCAAGTCATAAAATGTACCCATTTCAAATCCTAAAATTGGGGTTTTAATGATTTTTAATGTATTTTCTTGAATTCGTAAAGATGATTTACTATATTAATGTATTTGTGTTAAATTTGAACTTGCTGCCATCAACAAATTTTTAGTAGTTTGGAATTTTCACTACTTTTATTACATTTAAATTCAAATATATTTACAATTTATTCAATATATCATGTTCAAACAAAATCGTTGTCTCAATGTCACCAATAATTTCTTAAGATCTAGCATCAAAAAATAAATATAGGTAAGATCTAACGCAAATGAAGTGAGAAATTAAAAATATATATATTTTGAAACTTATCAGTTGAATGAGATATCCCAATCTGCCGAACTTCTAGGATCCTAGTATATAGGGTGTTTTTGAAGGGATAGGAACTGGTTTGTTGGAAGAATGCGAAGAAAATCAAGGGTTTTATATTCAATCCAGAACCACCATTACGGACAGTAACAGCTGCTGTGGCCTTGAAATTCTGACTGTTATGCACAGTAAAACCACGCCCATCTCTGGTAGTAGGAAAAAAAATAAAAAATTTATTGTAAAGGTGGTTCATTACATATGAACTTATTTTTTTTACCATACTAGCACATGCATGCTTGTGCTGGGATACAGTACCTACTGTAATCTACAAAAGATTGCATATTATTTAAGTTGGTCTTTCTAAAAAAATAAAACCACGCCCATCTCTGGTAGTAGGAAAAAAAATAAAAAATTTATTGTAAAGGTGGTTCATTACATATGAACTTATTTTTTTTACCATACTAGCACATGCATGCTTGTGCTGGGATACAGTACCTACTGTAATCTACAAAAGATTGCATATTATTTAAGTTGGTCTTTCTAAAAAAATAAAACCGCGCCCATCTCTGGTAGTAGGAAAAAAAATAAAAAATTTATTGTAAAGGTGGTTCATTACATATGAACTTATTTTTTTTACCATACTAGCACATGCATGCTTGTGCTGGGATACAGTACCTACTGTAATCTACAAAAGATTGCATATTATTTAAGTCGGTCTTTCTAAAACCAAAACTTCTATATCAGCTGTGGTTTGATTGATATATAACTCGGAAATTCAATTTTTGGAACTTTTTCATTACTTTTTATTTGTCTTGTTTCAATTTTTAAAATTTTTGTACTACTTATTGTGTATTATGATGAGCATTCAATATGTTCTTTATCTGCAGTCAATTGGTTTTGTTGGCCCTGGTATTGCTCTGATTGGTCTAACTATGGCAAGAAGTCCATCAATAGCATCCGCTTGGCTTACTTTAGCTCTTGGGCTAAAATCTTTTAGTCATTCTGGCTTCTTGGTGAACCTTCAGGTTTGTGTATTTTTTTAATAAAAGAAAAAGAAAAAAGAAAATTCTTGAATGAATCAGAAAAGCATAAAAATTTCAATAAAATCTTACCTTTTGCTCATACTTTTTCTATTCTCAGGAGATTGCCCCACAGTATTCTGGTGTTCTACATGGTAACTTATCTATCTCATCACATATTTATTGAATATTATTTGGCTTAAATAGTTAAATCATTTTGAAGTATATTTGATATCTCTTAGTTCTAGACCTATATTAATAGAGGGAAGATTCAGGATCAAGAAAACCAGTTTGTGGAAAAGGTCTGACACCCCCTCCCCCGCCACATTAAAAAAAAAAAAAAATTGGTTCTAGAGCTATATTTTGAAGTTATTTTTTATTTAGTGCAATGATAATATTCATGTAGTCGACTCCTTATAGTTGGGAGAAGACAAGTTGATTTATAATGTGGGGAAGATTGTATGCATAAAATCTTTTCCTTACCCTTGGGACTAATGTTAAGGACTTGAAGATTATTGTTGCACGAAACTTTCAGGATAGAAAGGATATAATGTGCAGCAGAAACCAAAACTAACAATTGAATTAAATGAAAATTATCTCCGAAATGGGATTTGTTTTCAGAATTGAATTAGAAACCTGCAAGAGTTTATCAGATGGCCTAATTGCAGCCACTTCTATTTTGTTATAGGTATGTCTAATACCGCTGGTACATTTGCTGCTATTCTGGGAACAGTTGGTGCTGGTTTCTTTGTTGAATTAACGGGTTCTTTCAAGGGCTTTTTGTTGCTTACATCTTTTATGTATTTTTCCTCTGCTCTATTCTGGAACCTTTTTTCAACAGGGGAGAGAGTCAATTTTGATGAAACTGATTAGAGACTATGTACAGGTCCTCATTTTTCTACCCCTCAAATTTGTCGCTTGGTTATAAATAGTGTCTGATAAGTGCTGTAAATGCAGTGATCAAAATATATGGTGAGAAGATATTAAAATCTATTATTTGATTCTCAGGGTTAAATTTGATTGTGTAGTATATTAGAATTTACTGGATTGTACTGTGAATCTGGAATTGTGAAGAGTAAGAGAATAAACTTTTGTCATTGTTTAGTCACCGAAATTGAAATTTTTTTTTTCTTAACAATATTTATGCAGGCTTCTAATTTCTTAATGGACCGGGTTAGACTTTTCATACTACATTTTGCTAAATCCAGAATTGGATTTTACATTTAGGCTTCATTTGTTTCGACCTAAAATATTCTTTTTGGAAAATATCTATTTTTTAGGTAAAATATTCTTTTATTTTTATTTTGTCGGTATTCGGCAAAGGTGTATGTCGAGGTTGAAGTCGAATATATCGGGCGGGGCATGTAAAATGACTTGTCGAAAATTAATGGATAAATTATTTTTGTCAAATTTTAATATTTTTTTTCTTTGTAAATATTTTAGGATAACCAAAGAAATGGAGCCTTATTATTGTACTACATTTCACTAAACCAGATTCTAAGGCTGCCGACTACACCCAGAAACTGGTTTGTTGAATAACATCAGAAAATTTAGTCTTTGGGAAATTTTATTTATATGGTTGATTGGCTTGGTGATCTTATTTATGCTAAAAAACTATTGATTTCAGAATTAGTGTATTTCTTAATTCACGCTTTATTTTGTTAGCTTAGCAAAGTGACAAGTGAACATGTCTATAAATGTTACCTACCCAACAGGTTGCTTTCGTTTGAATGTCTATTACAACATTTCTGCTGTTATTGCTTGGTCCCATGTTCTGTCACTTTATGGAGGAGCATTTGGCTAAGGATGTAATGATTGTTATATTTGACTAAGACCCAATATTCTCTTGAAGTTAGATGTGTCCTGCTGCATGAAAAATTTGAGCCTTAAAATTAAAATTGGTGAAGAAATTATTTGGGAGATCAAATGTTTGCTATATTCCGTCAAAGTGACTTTATCCTATGGAATTTTTATCCCATAACTTTGGTAGTCTTGTGTCCAACTCAAATATATCTGACAAACCCTATCAGAAATTCTTTTTGATTTGGGTTCTGCTTCATCCTAGTCCTTGTATTGTAGCTGTGGTAAAATAAAATAAAAATAGATAAATAAAATTCATACAAGGTTTGGGTCTTGCAATTTGTACTTTTTTGCAGTGCTTTTCCTGTCCTAAGACTGAGAATTTTTTAATTTTTAATTATTATTATTATTATTTTTTTACATCAAAGACTGAATTCGAAATGTTAATTTGTGGGAATTAAGCAGACTTAGCTAGAATAAAATTGCTCATTTAATAATTCATCTTTCAAACTGGTCAAGGTTTGTCTCTCTATGTAGACTACAATTGCATGCCACGTAGACAACGAATCATAACTTTTTTGATATATATAGAAACTCGTGGAGAAGATTCGTGCTGTGATTAGGTTTCAGAGAAATGCCAAAACAAAGGGAAGAAAATGCATGTATAGAATTGGGCTCCTTACGAGATTTAATGGGCTGGGCCCATTACCAGATAATCTAAGCCCAGATTCTGAATTTTTTTTGGAAAATTCCTTAATAGTCCTATTTTCTAAGTCCAAAGACAATTAAGTCCTAAATTTTATTTTTTAGACAAACAAATCCTACTTTTATAATTTATTTTCAATTCAGTTCAAATTTATTTTATATTCCAACATTACCCTTATACGGCTGATGACCTTCCTTTTTTATTCTTTCAGTTTCTCCTCTTTCCTCTGTTTTTCTCTCTAACTTCGTTTCGATGCTCAGAAGAAAAAAGAAAAGAAATTATTATAAAAGAAAAAAAAAAGCAAAATAATAATAATAATAATTTATATTTATATTTATGTTTTGATAAATAAAAGAGAAAAGAAAAGAATTCACAATTTTGTTATTTGAATAACACAAGGGAAAAAAAAAGAAAAAAAAGGATAATTATCTTATCTTTTTAGGCAGGGTTAGTAAAAATTCCAAATGAGTGATACTTTTATCTTTTAACTCCTTTTTTTTTTCAAATCTTGTCAATTTTGAAATGTTAATTTCAAAAGAATTCTAAACGAGGGATTTGGAGGATAATCCTTCCAAATTATTTCTTTCCTTTTTCAAATTATTCCATCCAAACATAACACTCCTTGTCCTTTCCTTTCTGTTCTTTCCCAATCCCCCCAAATCTTCCCATCCAAACGAAGCCTACTGTCATGCCGTCCATACTACTGGAGAAAGAGGAAGAATAGACCGAGCTGCGCTGATTGTATTGGTTGTTGATTGTTAATTTGATGAGTTGGGGGTTGTGAGCAAGAAAGTATAGATGGGTGGTACCAGAAAAGTAGATCAGTGTACTTGATTGTCTACTCTTATTCTCCCGATGCTGCTGCTCTTATAGTTGGAGATTAGTCCATGTTTGGCAATTGGCTTTAACAAATTCCACCATAGTTTTTTGTTTTATGCGCAACTTTAAAGCATAGAAAATGAAAATGAAATATTGAGTTTGATTTGATCTGAGAAAGAGGTGAATTTTCATATTTTAGGGTTTGGATCTAAGAACGGTGGTATGGCATTGTTGCCGGTTAAACAGACCGGCGAATCGGCTGCCGCGGCGGTGATGTCTGATTCTCAGAGATCAATCCCGACGCCGTTCCTCACCAAAACCCATCAACTCGTCGAGGATTCGTCCATCGACGACTTGATCTCTTGGAACGAAGATGGAACCACCTTCATCGTCTGGCGACCAGCTGAATTCGCCAGAGATCTGTCCCAAATACTTCAAACACAACAATTTCTCAAGCTTCGTTCGACAGCTAAACACTTACGGACGAACCTACAATTCATACAAGTTTGATATGTATACTATTTTTTATTAATTTGTTGTTTTTATTTTGGGTTTGAATTTTTAGGGATTTAAAAAGGTCGTGCCTGATCGGTGGGAATTTGCGAATGAATGCTTCCGGAGAGGTGAGAAGCTGCTTCTCAAAGACAACTATCAATAGAGGAAAGTCTACACAGGTCCAAATCGGCGTGAGAGAAACATAGACTTGAGAAGAGAGGAGAGACCCGGAAGAAACCCAAAAAAAATAAAAAATCAGCAGCCAATACAACGTCAATTCTTATGTTTGAAGATGATTGGTACTTTAATAGTAAGGGTAACATTGGAAAATAAAATAATTTTGAACTCATATAGAAATAAATGGTAAAAGTAGAACTTATTTGACCTTTTAAATTTTTGTAGAACTAGATTGTCTTTGAGATTAAAAAGTTGGACCAATAAGGACTTTTACTGTCCTCTCAAAATTTTTTAGGACATGGGCGTAATAATCCATGAATCGTGGCCTGTCTAAGTACACAAGTTACAAACTTTTTGAACGGACGTCTATGTCCGTATTATACCTACCAACATAAATGAACAATGAAACAATAATAAAAAAATAAAGAAAGAAAAGAAACGAAATAGCTTCTGGAATTCATTGACTTGGTTATTTAATTTTAAAAATATTCTGCTATTGGCATCTGTTTCTCCTTCAACATCCAAGATTTGTAGGGTTTCATTTAGCAAAGGAATATGGATTACTTTGTTTGAATTGGTCTCATTCTTCATATAAACTAATAGATAATATGACAGCATCAGATAATCTCACATGGGTTTTCAGAGTTCTCCAGCAAATGATGTGATCAAACTTGTTATGTAAAAAAGAAAAAACAAGAAAAAGAAAAAAAAAGGCCTGCAATCTCTGCAAATGAAGAATGCAGCAAGTCCTCAGATCAACCGATCAAACCAGAGGAAACAAGACTCCAATGGCGTCGCCATCGGCAGCTACACAAACAAGAGCCATCAGAGAACTCACACTGTCTTCAATTACATCAAAGCAGCAGCCAAGAAAGTGGGCGGAGTTTTCACCATCTTCCTCTTTTGGTCGAGAAAGGCCGCCTGCAACAGACCTAAAACTGATGCTACCAAACATCATGGTCAACTTAGCGGAGATTCATGTAAGTTACTTATCTCAATATGCTCAATATTAGCACTATTTGCACCCATGTTTACTGATCTCAATTGGGGGAAAAGAAAAAAATTGGTCTAAAACACAACTGAGGATAAATTCACCTTTCAGGAAGACATTGGTTGATAGCTTAAATTCTAAAAATAAAATTCTTTAATCAAAAGAAATTTTCCACGCAGTGATAAATGTGTACTGTGTTTATTTGTTGTGGTGGCGTCAATTAGTTTTCTGTGAACTGCCTGCAGTTCCAAGAGATAATTCTTCAGGAAGCAACAGTGGGAGTTCATCAAAATTTAAGTACTCTAATTCATATCGATCTTCCACGACCACAGGAGGACAGGTGGGAAATTTTTATTTCTCTATTGAAGAAATTTTCAAGGCGACCGAAAATTTCTCTGCAGTAAATAAATTAGGGGAGGGAGGGTTTGGAACTGTATACAAGGGGAAGCTCAAGAATGGATCTTTTGTTGCTGTAAAGCGCGCTAAGAAGGTACACAATCTTCTGGAACAGAATTGGAAAGATGCTATAAGTAAAATTTAGTCATATGAGTGAATCATCATGCACCAATTGGATGAGAAAAACTTAAATCCTTCTAAATATATAATCATCTATTAGAAGTAGAACCCTCGGATGGGGGATCATTTACTAACAGTATGCAAAGTAACTTGAAATTTCGTGGCAGGACTTGTACGACAAGCGCTTCTCAGAGTTTAAGAATGAAGTACATACCTTATCGAAGATTGAGCATCTAAACTTGGTGAGGTTATTTGGTTATCTGGAACACGGAGAAGAGCGGATTATTGTGGTTGAATATGTTGCCAATGGAACACTTCGGGAACATTTAGATGGTAAGTCAAGCAACTCGTATTCCAGCATGTGAATGTGTGATTGTATCTGTCAATAGAAGCAAGGAAAGGAAGAGACAAAATATAAATGTGAAGTGCAATCAATAATAATGTAATACATATGACAACAATCTTCTTCCCCCTTTTTTTGTGAAAAAAGAGAACGAAAATCTTAGTTTTTCAGGAGAGGAGAAGGCAGGTTTTTAATAAACTTCCAATCACAATTCTGGGAATTATCGTTTAGACTTGAACCTGCCTGAGAAATTTGCTATTGTGTATTTGGCCAATTGCCATGGATTTCTGATTAGTTTAATCAGAAATCAAAAAATGACTTCACTATATAAGATATGTAGTAAATATAACTTTAATATTTTTATCAAGAGCTGCAGATAGAGCATAGGCTTAAAGTGTTTGCTAAAATTTAATTTGGAAGAAGTTGAGATCAGGATTAGTAACTCTGTTGCAGGGATACGCGGAAATGGGCTAGAAATCTCAGAACGTCTGGACATTGCCACTGATGTAGCTCATGCGGTTACCTACCTGCACATGTACACAGGTAAACTACAGTACTCCTAAATTAACTATAGCCAATTTGACTCAAAATTTCAATCTATAGCAGAGACTTTCGATCCATAGAAAGTTTTGAATATGGCCAAGAAACAAGCAAAGATTTATAGCCTCAATGTTTAAAAGCCAGACTGCTATATCAGTCGAAGACACCCTGTCTATGTTGTTGACACGCCTCTTTTGTAATGGCAATACTTTGGATAGCAAAAGCATTCAAAATACTGAATTTGTCTCGTTTAAATTACAGATCTTCCAATAATTCACAGAGACATAAAATCATCAAACATCCTCATTACAGAGAAACTCCGTGCCAAAGTGGCAGACTTTGGATTTGCACGAATGGCGGTAGAAGATTCAGGTGCAACTCATATTTCAACACAAGTCAAAGGCACAGCAGGCTACTTGGATCCCGAATACCTAAGGACATATCAACTTACTGAAAAGAGTGATGTTTACTCGTTTGGAGTATTGCTCATAGAACTGGTGACAGGAAGATTACCCCTTGAACCAAAGAGACCGCCCAAAGAGAGAATAACAGCAAGATGGGTAAGTATTTCAAGCATGTCAATAGAACAACAAAAACATTAATTTGAACATTCATGGAATGACTTTTTGCTGCAATAAATTGAGCCTAATTTTCGATGTGTATAAATCAATAAATCTGGTTATAGCATAAGTAGCTTTAAGACCAGTCCATTCCATTCCATACGAGGCAAAAGAACTTGGGAATCAGATGTTAATCAGTTAGGACTTGGGACAGGGAGACCATATATGTCATGAAATGCTACCGTCAGTTTACGAGTCATGGGTGACCATAAACCAGCGTTGGCCTAACTTCCTAGTCTCATAATATTGAAAATTAGTTCTATACTCCCCTTTAAACTTTTATATCCCTCTATATTGCATTTATTGTGCAATTTTTGTTGCATCAGTACACTATATCTCCATTAATTCATACACTAGAACATCTACTCTGGTCAGTCAGAGTATTCATAGAAACTCAAACAAGCCAGTGCCCCAACATTATGGAAGTTTTTATTTTTCCTCCAAATTTTACTGCCTAAAATGAGGGGACAGTGAAGTTGTAATAATACCATCAATACAAATATAACATAATTAGGATAAAAGAGCTTAAAAACAAACTCAGTGGACTGAACATATCATAAAACCTTAAAAAATTGTAGAACACAGTCAACAAGCATCAAACAATATATTTTTTTTTTCTATTTACTATATAATGAGTTGAACATGAGAAGTATAAAATAAAACAATGTACTGTGCACCTAATGACTGTACAAATCAGTCAGAACATGGCTTCACAACCAGCCATCTTCTATAAATATCTTCATATAGTGTACCTTAATATCATTCATAACATTCTCTATAGTAAATAACATCTTAAGAACAGTTAATTTCTAATTTCATAGACATGCTTAACACAAGCAACTACCAGTACTCTATAAGGGTATCCAATCTCAGTATTTGTACCAGGTTTTTTTTTTTAATCAAATGACACTAGTAATAGCAAAACTATGACATTTTTCAACCAGACATAATATCATCTGTATATATGCAGGCAATGCAGAGACTGAAAGAAGGTGACACAGTATTGGCAATGGATCTAAGACTGCGAAGAAGTCCAGCGTCCATTGAGGCAGTGGAAAAGGTCCTCAAACTTGCTCGACAATGCCTTGCACCTTCAAGACAATCAAGACCTTCCATGAAGAAATGCGCCGAGGTGTTGTGGGCAATTCGAAAAGATTTCAAAGATAGAAGTGTTTCCATTGCATCTACTTCTCATCAGTCTGCAAATGTTGTAGAGAGAGATGCAAGAAAGGGTCGCTACAAGCAATTTGGGATTGAAGATACTGAGAGCTATACATTTCGTTCTGCATGAAAAGTGACTTTTGGGGTTAATTGATGAATTGTCTATTCTATATGTTGTATATTCATTATATTCAGAACTCAAAATACAGGGGTTTTGCTGGAGGCAGTTAGTGGTGGATACTCCTTGCTCTGTTTTCAATCCCCACAGCTTAGAAATTGTTCGGACGCAACTAAACTCAGTTCGGGGTTAGCAAGAAGGCTCAGATCATGCACTCATGTAACATATTATTTTTTTATTTTTTATTTTATCAATAGAAAACTTGTCAACAGAACAAAGAAGCAATGTGTTCACAAGTTGAGCCTAATATAAGTTGTGCTTTCAGAAGTGTAGACATTAATTCAAGCTCCAACTAGTTCAGAAAATGAATCCTGTAAACAAATTCAAACTCGATTTGTTCTCTTAATGAATGAAAATGAGAACCTTTATTAAGCAAGTGAAGCCCAAACTGTTCAGGTCATTAGCTGTCCAAGATTCGTATCCTATCAATTTTACCAAACCCATGAGCAGTGGAATTTAAGTGCTAGCCAGATCAACAAAGTAAATATTATCATCATTTTTTGGGAAGGATTTCCTCAATCCCCTTCTCTTGCTCTATCATATGACCTCTCAAATCCTAGCAGCTATCCCAAACTCTTCTTAAATCAAGTCATCTTGGTTCTGACATTAGTTGTGTCCTGGTAAAGCAGCAAGCTAAGAGTAATCGAAGCCAACTTTTACACATCATGACACACATCAATCCACCACATTGGGTTTTGCAATCTTCAGCACAAGATCAAACTAATGCTGTGGTGGTTCCCAATAGCAACACCAACATGCACAGAGGAGGATAGCTATCCCCAGGGGCGGCTCAATACAATGTGAGGCCTTAGGCAAAAAAAAATAAAGTGTCCTTTTAATTAAATCTATCCATATATTTATGCTAGCTGATTATTTGTTTAGTGATTTTTTAACCTATCACTAAAATATTTCCAAACTCTAGTTCCATCATTAATTAATTGGCTATGTACTTTCTAATAGTCATATTTAACAATATAAATAAAAATTATAAACAAAATATATAGTTTTATGATAACAAAAATTAATAAAGCTATAAACTAATTTAAGTTATAGAATAATAAAAAATGATTTCGAATAATTTGGTCTAATGCTCCAATAAATTCTTTATAGAATATAAGTGTATTCAAATTTCAAAATCTTCTTCGGGAGTGAGAATGTAAATTGTAATTGTGGAGAAGATGAAAATAAAAAATTTATAATGAGAGAGGAGAAAAAATATATGAGGAATAAGGAAAAATAAAAAATAAAAAGAAAAAAGAAAAAAGAAAATAAAAATAATAGGAGTCTTAGAAAAATATAGAAAGTTTCATCAATATTCACTTAAATATATATTTAATATTTAATTTTAATATGTGTGTATATATGCTGATGTAATGAGGATGAGAGAGGGGAAAAAAAAAAAAAAAACAGGGAAGATAATACAAGAATAGAAATATTTTGCACACTATTAAATTTTGTATTTGTTGAGGTTTAATATATAAAGAAAATCAAATATTTAGGTAAGTTATAAAAAAAAAAAAAATTTGGGGGCTCTTAAAAAAAATTAAAGAATAGAAATCTTTTAGGTGAACTGTCAAATTTCTCTATTTAATAATTTAAGGAAATACTATAATTGTTTTAGGAAAGTTATAATATATAAAAAAATAAAAAAATATGGGGCCTTTTTATTGGTTGGGGCCTTAGGCAACTGCCTAACTCGCCTAAGGCTCGAGCCGGCCTTGGTTATCCCCTTTGGAACACCATATCCTCATTTCTGTTCATCTTGTGTTCGGATTTCATAGGTCTTCTGGAAAAATATTAGCAAGGAACTATTATTGATCCTCATTCATCGGATTAAAATAGCGAGGTTGTCCTTAAATCAAGTCATCTTGGTTCTGACACTAGCTGTGTCCTGGCAAAACAACAAGCTAGCTGGTTCTGACACTAGCTGTGTCCTGGCAAAACAGCAAGCTAAGAGTTATTGAAGCCAACTTTTACACACTCATGACACACATCAATCCACCACATTGGCGTATTACAATCTTTAGAACAAGATCAAACTAATGCTGTGGTGGTTCCCAATAGCAACACCAACATGCACAGAGGAGGATAGATATCCCCTTTGGAGCACCATATCCTTATTTATGTTCATCTTGTGTTTGGATTTCATAGGTCCTCTGGAAAAATATTAGCAAGGAACTGTTATTAATCTTCATTCATCGGATTAAATTAGTGAGTCTGTCCTCTATGTCATGGGGATGTTCACAAATGATACACCCACCCAGCACTTCCTGCAATACATCTCTAATTCTATCCTTACAATAAACTAAACCTAGTTTGATGTAATTATCTTAGTTGCAACTTAGTTTCTAACATAACTCAATCAGTATGTACCATGTATTTCTCCTTTTACTTCATGAATGACTAAACTGCATTCCATACAAAAGTAATTTGGTAAAATTGGCGTACTAAATTTGAGAGCCTGACTATCATTATATACAATAAGAAAATTACAAATATGGAAAGAGAATTAAATCAAATCAGAATAAAAATAAAATCCCTAAACATTAGCCTATAATGAAGACCCAATAAATCTGCCACAATCATTGAGTCAACTTATATATATGATTTCCAACACCCCCCCTCAAGTTGGAGCAAATATGTTGACCAAGCCCAGCTTGACTATGGAAGACTGGAGAAAAGAAGGACCAAAAGACTTTATGAACACATCTACAGTCTGTTCTGAAGAGGGAACAAAAAAAAGATTAATGATACCTGATGGAACCTTCTCTCGAATAAAGTAAATGTCTGCCTCAATATGTTTCGACCTTTCATGTAAAACAGAATCAGAAGTAAGTATAATGGCTGATTTATTGTCACAAAACAGCCTTAAAGAACCTTTTTGTATAAGACCCAACTCTTCCAAAATTGATTGACGCCAAAGGAGCTCACAAGTACCCAGAGTCATAGCTCAATACAGAGGATCTGGAGACAACAGCTTGCTTCTTACTCTTCCATGATATGAGATAATTACCATAGTAAGTACAGAAGCCAGAGGTAGAACGTCTATCTATCTTACATCTAGCATAGTCTGCATCAGTAAAGCATGAGAGTCCAGACTGATTTCCTGAGGCATAGAACAGACCAAGACTAGGGCACGACTTAAGATACCTCAAAATATGGTAAACTGCATCTATATGAGCTGAGCGAGGGGCATGCATGAATTAACTAACCATACTAACAGCAAATGTCAAATCGGCCTTCTGTTAGTTAAGTAGATAAGATGACCTACTAAACGTTGATACACGGACGGATCTGGAAGTAATTCCCCTGACTCAACAAAGAGTTTGAGATTATGGTTCATAGGAGTGGAAGCGGGTCGACACCCAAGCATGCTAGTATCTTGAAGAAGATCCAAAACATATTTCCTTTGAGATAAAGAAATTCCACGACGGGATCTAGCAACCTCAATTCCAAGAGAATATTGAAGAGGACCTAAGTCTTTCACATCAAAGGACTTTTGAAGATGAAGTTTCGCCTGAGCAATCCCTTAAGCATCATCACCTGTGATAATGATATCATCCACATATACCAATAACATAATGTAGTGACCATCACAGCGACGTTAAATAAAGCAAGTATGGTCTAAGTGGCAGCACACAAAGCCTATGGATAGAACATCGCTGAAACGACTAAACCAAGCTCTAGGAGATTACTTCAGACCATAAAAAGACTTCCGCAGCCGACAGACTTTCCCAGAATACTCCCCCTCAGCTCGAAATCCAGGGGGTGGATCCATACATATAGTCTCAAGTAAGTCTCCATTAAGAAATGCATTCTTGAAATCTAAATGATGCAGAGGCCAAGAATGGGCAGCAAACAAGGAGATAAGCAGTCGCACAGACGTCAACTTTGCCACAGGAGCAAAGGTAGCACTAAAGTCTTTTCCCAAAATCTGAGTAAAGCCTTTTGCCACCAACGAGCCTTATACCGATCAATAGAACCATCGGCTAAGTACTTTACATTAAAGACCCATTTGCAGCCAACTGTTTTTTCCCCAACAGGTAAAGCAACAAGTTCCCATGTATTATTATATTATAAAACATCCATTTCTATTGTCATAGCAGACACCCAATTGGGATCTTGGAAGGCCTCTAACACTTATCGAGGAATAGAAACAGTCCCAATCTTGCCCGGGAAGGATTTATATACACCTGAAAGACCATCATAGGAGACATACTGGGAAATAGGGTGGTTAGTGCTACTAGAGAAACCATACCAATTAGGATGGTGACGATTACAGGTAAGATAACGGGATGTATGCTCAGGAATGGTAGGAGCCACAGGAGAAGGAGAGTTACCTGGACCTGGTTCTGAAGATGATTCTGGCAAAGGAGGTTAAGTATGATGGCGACGAGAGTAGACCTGCAAAGGTGGAGGGGAACTTTGCATGGATGGAGAAGGAGATTCCAGGACAGTGTGATTTTCAAAGAGAGGAATAGGACGGGCAATAGGAGAAATCTCCTTCTCAAGACCACAAGAGAGAGAATCCTAGACCACAGAATTAGTACTATAAAAAGGAACAATTTCATGAAATGTCACATCAAGAGAATGATACATATGTTTGGCCACATGATCATAACAACGGTAGCCCTTTGACATAGCAGAATATCCCAAGAAAATACACCTAATAGATTTATCATCAAGTTTATGACGACAAGGACTGCGATTATGAACAAAACAAGTACAGCCGAAAACAAGAGGCAGAAGGTGAAACAATGAATAATCAGGCTAGAGAATCTGAAGTGGGGCCTTACCACCCAAAACTCGATTGGGAGTACGATTAATCAGAAAAGCAGCTGTAAAAATAGCCATATGCCAATAGAATTTAGGCACATGCATACCACTCAGAAGACATCGGACCACAGACATAAGATAATAGTTTTTGCGTTTATCAACGTCATTTTGCTTAGGAGTGTAGGGGTAAGTGAGTTGATGTAAAATCCCCTTTTTATTAAGTTTAGTCTGGAACTCATTCGAAACATATTCACATCCATTATCAAAATGAATATTACGGACAACAGTGTTATATTGGGTTTTGATCATTTGAAGAAACTGGGTAAATAAAAGAAATACATCAGATTTCTTTTTCAAAAAATAAACCTAAGTACAACGAGAATAATCATCAATTAATGTCACATAATATTGATGCTCAGAAAAAGCAGTAATTGGGGAAGGGCCCTAGACATCATAATGAATAAGATAAAAAATACTAGGAGCACGACTCATATGA